GCAGTGTGCATTATCTTACAATAATCTTTCATATAAGTCCCAGAATACGGAAGCTGCCTTCTTAAAAGCATTTGCTGTGGCCATCGCCACCCAAGGACCACAGTGGCTCACTGCTGCTGACCTTTCGTGTCCTTCTTCCTTTGCTGAATTTTCAAAATTTCATCCTATTTTTACCAAATTAACTTTACTACTTAAGTAATTAAGTGACAGAGCAGACTGTTATAAAAATACCCCACTGTCCCCTCAGCTGTTTCCTATATTTGTCATGCTTATACTGTTTGCTTTTTATCCCTTCGCCTTTCCAAATCACATCTGTCCTTTAAAGATAAGCTGGGATCATGGTGTAGCTCAGAGCCTTGTCCCTTTATTTTATCCCACATGAATAATTCCTTTTTTTCAGAATTATTTTCCTGTTTATTATTTGCACTACTCAGTTTTATCTGTTGATTTGTAAGTGCCTGGTGTTTTCTTTCTTTCCAGTTGCCTGGTGTTTTCTTTCTTTCCAGTTAAGTCCTTTCAGACAGATATCACACTGACCCTTTTTGTAGTGTGATATGGTAGGTATTCCATAAATATTTTTTGATACTGCTAATGACTTCTAGACTAATAACATGCTCAAGCAGGTGAAATCAGGTGTCGAATGAGTTGTTATTAGTTGCTTTATCAAGAGATTAAGAGAAAATAAATTGAATTTATTAAAAGTATTGTGAATAAGAATCTGCATATTAAAAACAAACAAAACAAGAACAGCCATATCAAGAGTCTTTTTTACACAAATACATGTAAAATATACCAGGAAGGGGCTTCCCTGGTGGCGCAGTGGTTAAGAATCTGCCTGCCAGTGCAGGGGACACAGGTTCGATCCCTGGTCCGGGAAGATCCCACATGCTGTGGAGCACCTAACCCCGAGCGCCACAACTACTGAGCCTGCGCTCTAGAGCCCACGAGCCACAGCTACTGAAGCCCGCGTGCCTAGAGCCTGTGCTCCGCAACAAGAGAAGCCACCGCAGTGAGAAGCCCAGGCATCACAGCGAAGACCCAACGCAGCCAAAAATGAATAAATAAATTTTTTAAAAAATTAAATATATATACCAGGAAAACAAAATTACCAGTTAAGACGTAAAGTGTAAATATTATTTCAAACCTGGAAGCACTATGTTACATTTAAGGAACTTTAAATTTTGATAATCCAAACCATAGCTAAGGATAACTTTATTTAAATATGAATACTTATTTTAAATATAACAGCTTCCAGATTTCATGAGACGTTATAGAAATACCTTAAAAGTTTTCTAGAATCCAAGTGGGGAGGAGTCTCAGGACACACATGAATTGCTAAGTGCAGTTTCACTGTGTCATTTTTAGGCCACACAGATACTTGAATGAATTTATGACTCTTCCAAATCTTTGCATGTTTCCTACAAAATTTATCTTTCCCCAGAACCTCTAGGAGTGTGGCTCTTTTGGGTTTCAGGTTTTCCGTGGCGATCTGCTCTTTCTGGGTATGCTTGGCTCTCCCTTTTCCTCTTAGAGTCTCTAGTTATAGGCACGGAACGGCTTGTCTGTGCTCTGGGGTCAGGGTCGCCTTGCTTCCTTCTCCTTCACACATCACTCTTATTTTATAGCCACCCGCAGTTAGCTGTAATTATTGATAGGCCGTCTAGTTCGCTGGGTTACGCTGGTGGTTTGCATTTTATCCTTTTACAGTTGTCCTAATGTACTACTGCCTTTCCTGCGGCTGGTATTGACAGGTCAAGCTGGCAGATAAAATGCAGGCCCTGTGTATCACTGATCCCCTTCTCCTTCCTTCCTTTCTCTACATTTGGTAGCGTCCCTGCCACCAGAGCAGAGCTAAAGGGATCTAGGGAACAGCAGGCCAGGCTAAAGTGGTAATGGCACCTCAGATAATACATTTAGGTGGGCGTGAGTGAGCTATATCAGGGATTACAGAATTTAATTAATACAATTGTTTAAAGCTTTTATTGCATCTTTTATTTTTTCCAAAAGTCTCACTTGGAATTCAAAGGACACAGATAAATGCTGCCCCTAGTTGAAGGCTGGGGCAAGACCAAACAAATGTTTGGCCTCTTCTCATTTCACTGGACCCCCCGCCACCGGTGGCCACCCCCAGGTACCTCCAGTAACCCTAAGGAAAGCGGAGTAGAAGTGACTGACACAAACAGGTCCCATCTTGAGGCATAATCCTGGTGTCTTCAATTCTGTTCTACTCTGGGATGTCTGGCTCATCGTGACTGTTGCTGAGAAACTCCTTTCCTACCCTGTGCATGTTACTAAAACCACTCTTTCACCTAGTGTTTCCATCTTGGTAAATAGTTAGCTCCATTCATTCAGTTACACAGGCTGAAACGAAACCTGCAGTCATCCTTGTCTCTTCCCTACTCCCCGCTTCCGGTCCCTGAGCACATCATGTTGCTTTTCTGCCTTCAGAATACATCCCACCTTGCCACCCTGGTCAGCTTCTTTTTTCTTTTTCTCCTAGAAACAAACTGCAGTAGCCAATTAGCAGTCTTCTTTTTTCACTATCCACCCCCAGTCCCCCAACACACACACCACAGTCTAGTACAGTGGTCAGTTACACGGGTTCTTAAACCAGACTGCCTGCATTCATACCTGGGTCAGCTGTCGTATGTCATTAAGAACATGAATTAACCTTTCTGGGCCTCAGTTTCCTTAACAGGTAAATGACGAGGAGGAGGACGGTACTAGTTACCTCATACAGTTGTGTCAGATAAGTTATTATACGTAAATTACTTAGAGTAGCGCTTGGCAAATAGTAAACGTCCAGTGAATGTTAGGTAGTGGGTGACGTTGAGGGTATTGCAGCTGTTATTTTTTATTCATACAGAGTCTAAACTGACCACCTTCAGACCACCTTAATCAGATGTGTCCTCCATTGGCCTCCTGTCACTTTTAGAGCAGTATCCAGAGTCCTCACCATGGCCTGCTGGACCCCCTCCGACCATCCTCTGCCCTCGCTCCTTTTCCTGCAGCTGTCCTGCTGCTGCCCTCCGCCTGCCACGCCACTGCTGCCTCTGTGCCCGTGGGCCCTCTGCCGGACGTGCTCACCCCGCACACCACACGGACACGCGACTGGCCACTCCCTTCCTTTCATCTCTGCTCAGTGTTAGATCCTCAGAGCGGTCAGAGTATCGTTCTGTCATTTTCTGTATCCTTCAACTTAACACATTATTGACCGGAGATGTATTAACGCCACAGACGTTAGTTTCTGCAAAAATCCCCCAGTCAATAATGTGTTATCTTTTCATAAGACATGAAGAAAATCATCGCTACCTAACATCACGTTATATATGTTTGTTTGTTGATTATTTACCCCACTATGCTGAGTTCCATAATAAATGAAAGCAAGAGACTTTGTTCATCATTTTAGCCCCAGGCCCTTTCATGTACGTAGTAGGTGCTCAAGAGGTGTTTGTTAAATGGAGGGGTGGGGTGGGGTGGGGTGGGGTGGGGTGGGGTGGATGATCGAAGAAAGATTTTCCCATTTGTTCTTACACGAGAAATGCTGAGGTTACAAACCAGATAGTCGGAGGGAGGCCTGAGTAAACTTTCTTGAGATGAGAACTCCTTAGGGAAGAGTTCAGGTTGATTTTTCTTTTCTTTTCTTTTTTTTTCCTTCTTCTTTGTTGATAAGAATGTATCAAGTAATTTACCATAATTGTCTCAATCATATATGGATTAGTTGCATTATTAAATTAGTACCTTTTTTTATAGTTAATGTTCAAGGTCCGCTACACATGCCTTTCCTTTGCAGCTAATGACAAGGAAATTGGGTTTATCTTTTATTGAGCATTATTAAATGCAAGAAACATGTCATTCTCCCTCTTATTACAACCTCAGGTCACAAGAAGAGGGATTTAAAGTCTGTCTAGAATTACGAAAAATAGAGACATAAGTAATCTTCACCAAAAATTCTTCTTCTGATAAAGAGCAGTAGGTCAAGGTGTCTATGAAAATGTGATTTTTTTTTTTTTTAAGCATTCAGATTTAAAATGCTTTCTAGTCCCTCAGAGATAGAACAGAGTTATTTGTTCGCTTAGGAATTTTAAAAATTAGCATTTGCCATTTATCTTAAATAATGATGTAATTTAATTACTGTTTGATGACTATACTAATTCATTGACATTAATACTTACCCATTAACTTTAACACGTGGAGAAATTAGAGAAATAAAGAATTTCAAGAATAACTGGTAATCTTGAGCATCTTTGTTTTTGTTTTCTTCGTAATTCCTGAGATTTAAAAAACATTACCCTTACTAATTTCACTTCATTATAATGTACTACATTTCTAGGACATGCAAGTTATTTGGTGCTTTTTATTTTGGGCCTCTCTTACGCCTTCATACTTAAACCCAATAGTCTTCTGAACTACATCTTGTTATAATCTGAGTGAAAAAGTGACTTTCTGATTTGAAGAGGGGTTCGTCACATGCTAATTTGTCATTTAGCCTTTTTTAAAAAAATCACTGACATTAAATGAGTTAGTGTTTGGAGTTGATCTTCTAAATTGTGCCTATCCAAATTGGTACCACTCCGAGATGGTATCAGAGGATGTGTGTGACTGTCGGACGGTAACGCAGGTGTTCTGTGGCGAGCTCAGGGAGGGTGGCCATCTCCCATGGAGCAGGACAAAGCCCGCCTGATCTTGATTATCGGCATGAGTGACGATCACAAAAGAGGGTCCTGCAGGCTTTCCGATCCTTCCACATCAGCTTTTCCCATCACTGTGAGGCAGAATTCACCACACTTTGCATTGTTCACCAGCCTACCCTGTGTTTTTTCTTAATGTCAACATAGAAGATTTTTACCTCTTCTGTTTACAAACATGATTTTTATTAGAGAAAGAATTTAAGCGTAAGTCAGAGTAGCCAAAAATCAGAGATCTTTGCTGTAAGCTGTTTTCCCTTTTTATTCATACGTGGACTTTAAAATTTATTATTATTATTATTATTATTACAGGCCATGGTTGCTTGTTATCCAGGCAACGGAACGGGTTATGTACGTCATGTCGATAATCCAAATGGAGATGGAAGATGTGTGACATGTATATATTATCTTAATAAAGACTGGGATGCCAAGGTATGCCACCTCATTGAGCATTTTTTTTTTTTCTTACAGGTATTTTTTCCTCACAAGTAGTGTTAAGATTCATACTCCTCATAGGTGAGACTGTCTTTAAAACGTGGAACAGTTAAACATTTCTCCTTAGGTATGTTTCACTCAGGTATTAGGAGTGGATCTTCGTTAACATGAAACAGATCCTAATAGAGCTCAAAAAGTAGATTCCTTTATTTCGGATGTTGAAACATTCATATCCAAAATTTAACTTCAACAAAAGTATCTTTTATTAAAATAATATCCCTTCTAGTAGTTTTTCTAAAAACACTTCTGAGAGTGTTTGTTTTATCATGACTTTTGCGGGAGATTATGTATTACGATTATGAAGAGTTATTTGCTCTTTAGCGCCTGCATTTCGTGCTTTGCATTGTTGCAGAGGTGTTGTCTGGCACTGGGCTATGGGCTATTGGAGGCAGGATTTCTTTGTCCCCGGATTATGAAAAGCTAGTTTATCGGTACTGAAAAATCCTGTAAAACCAGTTAGAATGTGCAGCGTATCCAATTTCTCATGTTGCAAATATTTATTCCCTTAACATCAGCCTGAGTTTCACTTAAGCTTAAATGATTTAAACTTTAGAAGTGTGTCATGTATTGTTGCACTGGAGGTTGTATAAACTAAGTTTTGGTTGATTTTTGTACAAAATCTCTTTTTACTTCACATGTGATGAAGCAAAATATTTAAGTAGAAAAGTGAACGTAATGTATAGCCCAGTGGATTTTCAGAGAGTGAACACACTTGTGTAGCCAAGGTAACTTAAAAAAATCAGCCTTTAAAACGCCTCCTTCCACCACACGCATACACACGTAAATGGAAACCACGGGGTCCTAAATGTACAAAAACTTAGTCCTGTTCTAAGAGCAAATCCTAAAACTTAGAGTATGCTCACGGTGATCCACTCATCTTTCCATATCATATACTGATTTAAAGAATTTCCTCTGTCCTTGATACTCTATGTAGAAAACCCTAAAGATTCCACACAGAAACCGTTAGAACTGATAAATGAATTCAGCAAGGTAGCAGGATACAAGATTAATATACAGAAATCTGTTGCATTTCTTTACACTAACAATGAAATACCAGAAAGGGAAAGTAAAAAAAAATTCTGTTTAAAATCACGTCATAAAAAGAATATATCTAGGAATAAATCTAACCAAGGAGGTAGAGGACTTATATGCTGAGAACTATAAGACACTGATAAAGGAAATCAAAGGTGATGCAAGGAAAAGGGAAGATATTCCATGCTTTTGGATTGGAAGAATTAATATAGTTAAAATATGGCCATATAACCCAAAGCAGTCTACAGATTTAATGAAATCCCCATCAGATTAGCCATGACATTTTTCACATAACTAGAACAGATCATCCTAAAATTCATATAGAATCACAAAAAAACCAGAATTGCCAAAGTGATCCTGAGGAAAAAGAACAAAGCTGGAGGCACAGCCCTCCCAGACTTCAGACTATACTCCAAAGCTACTGTACTCAAAAGAGCGTGGTGTTGGCACAGAAACAGACATATGGATTGGTGAGACAGAATAGAGAGCCCAGAAACAAACCCACACACCTACGGTCAGTTAATCTTTGACAGAGCAGGCAAGAATATACAGTGGAGAAAAGACAGTCTCTTCAGCACGTGGTGCTGGGAAAGTTGGACAGCCACGTGTAAATCAGTGAAGTTAGAACACACCTTCACACCATGCGCAAAAATAGACTCAAAATGGCTTAAAGACTTAAATATAAGACACGACAGCATAAAACTCCAAGAAGAGAACACAGGCAAAACATCCTCCGACATAAATCGTACCAATGTTTTTCTTAGGTCGGTCTCCCAAGGCAATAGAAACAAAAGCAAAAATAAACAAATGGGACCTAATCAAACTTACAAGCTTTTGCACAGCAAGGGAAACCATAAACAAAAAGAAAAGACAGCCTGTGCGCTGGGAGAAAATATTTGCAAACAGTGTGACCGACAAAGGCTTAATTTCCAGAATGTACAAACAGCTCATACAATTCAATAACCAAACAAACAAACAACCCAATCAGAAAATGGCAGAAGAACTAAGTAGACATTTCTCCAAAGAAGACATGCAGATGGCCAACAGACACAGGAAAAGACGCTCAACATTACTAATTATCAGAGAAACGCAAGTCAAAAGTACAATGAGGTAACACCTCACAGAACGGTCAGAATGGCCATCATCAAAAAGTCTACAAATAATAAATGCTGGAGAGGGTGTGGAGAAAAGGGAACCCTCTTGCACTGTTGGTGGGAATGTAAATTGGTGCAGCCACTACAACAGACACAGGAAAAGATGCTCAACATTACTAATTATCAGAGAAATGCAAGTCAAAAGTACAATGAGGTAACACCTCACAGAACGGTCAGAATGGCCATCATCAAAAAGTCTACAAATAATAAATGCTGGAGAGGGTGTGGAGAAAAGGAACCCTCTTGCACTGTTGGTGGGAATGTAAATTGGTGCAGCCACTATGGAGAACAGTATGGAGGTTCCTTAAAAAATTAAAAAGTTACCATATGATCCAGCAATCCCACTCCTGGGCATGTATCTGGAAAAGACGAAAGCTCTAATTCAAAAAGATACATGCACCCCAGTGTTCACAGCGGCACTACTTAAAATAGCCAAGGCATGGAAGCAACCTAAGGGTCTATCAACAGAGGAGTGGATAAAGAAGATGCAGTACATATAGACAATGGAATACTACTCAGGTACAAAAAAGAACAAAATAATGCCATTTGCAGCAACATGGATGAACTTAGAGATTATCATGCTAAGTGAAGTAAGTCAGACAGAGAAAGACAAATATTATATGATATCACTTATATGTAGAATCTAAAAAATATTACAAATGAACTTATTTACAAAATAGAAACAGACTCAGACATAGAAAACAAACTTATGGTTACCAAAGGGGAAAGGGGGGAGGGATAAATTGGGAGTGTGGGATTAACAGATGCACACTGCTATATATAGAATAGGGAAACAAGGATTTACTATATGGCACAGGGAACCGTATCCGATATCTTGTAATAAACTATAATCGACAAGAATTTTTAAGAAAGAATATAGATATGCACACATATGTGTATAACCGAATCACTCTGCTGTACATCTAAAACTAACACAATATTGTAAATCAACTATACCTCAGTAAAATGAATAAAGTTTAGAATTAAAAAAAAAGAGCAAGTAACAAAACAAATGCAAGAATAGAAAGTATTATAGAAGTGTGACAAGTAGTTAAAAGTAAAAAATGTTACTTTTCTGGGAAGAAAAAAAGAATTTCCTCTGTCCTACTCCAAGTTCAAAGTAGAGGTAAGTTTTACTGCTAAGTATATTTTGAGGCATTATGTCAACAAACATGGTTTTTTGTTATAGCTTTTAAAGTTTGAAATAGAGACATAAGTTTGGTAATTCACCTTGAGCCCAACGCACAAAACAAATTGCTATAAATTTGGTTAGAATTTAAATTTTTTTTCCGATTTTGTGAGTATCTAGAAAACTAGGAATATGTTTGATCAACTCTTAAATTTTACATTTTGTTAGAATCTAGGTTCTTTCTAGGCTGATCTTTTAATTTTTATATGACCTGTCCAAGGTCATTAATACGTTGTTTTTAAATTAGCGTATAAGCAGAAAAAAATCTTCAGTATTTTTATATGTAAAACTGAAAACTTTCACTGCAAGATTGCACTGAATATGTACACTGTGGCAGAAGTTGTTCTGGGTGCTGGAAAGAGCAGAAATAGAACTATCCCTCCTAGAGCTTGGGCTGGAGTGGAGGGTACAGATCAGTAGACGGACGATTACAGTTGGCGCTGCCAAGTGCAGGACAGATTGCTGTGGGAACACGTGGGAGCCCGCCTAATTCAGGGATCAGGGAACGTTTCCCAGAGGACTGGTAGCTTCAACTACATGTTTCTGAACATTTTCAGCAGATGGCCTGTGCTATTCCCGGTGACTCCAGTGAAAGGGCGGAGGGCAGGGGGAGAGAAAAGAGGCATGTTCTCGGTCACAGTCTAGAGCTCCTTTAAAAGATGTCTGCATGAGTGCTTTGGCAGTCGCTCGGAACAACGCTGGAACCTGAGGAAGGAAGGCAAGGGAACCGGGTAGCTTGAATCTACCTTACTTGACAGTGAGCCTGTAAACAGCTTCTCTGGCTGTAGTGGAACCGAGGAATAGGCTCAGCCTCCATGGTGTCTTGATCAAGTATCAATGTGCCTTTCAGTTTAAGAGTCTACCTGTTAGGAGTTGAGTTTTCCAAGGGTGAAGAGCTACTCACTTGGGTCGGGTTTACCTCGCTTTACTCCCCCCCACCCAGATTATAATTACCACAAGGACCACATCTGTCTGAATTATTTCCTACTCTGCACCCAGGGCCCAGGACAGGGCCCAGAACAATAGACATCCAGTCAGTATTGGAATGAATAGGTGAGTCCATCTGGTCCAAACAGAGAAGGATCTTTGCTGGGGTAAATAGTAACGATCCTTTGTGAAGGGAGTCCAGTTGCATAGGCAGGGAGTCATCGACGTGTCAGGCCCAGTCTGGGGGGGGAGAGCTACAGTTTCTAACGATGACCGCAGCGCTGATGGTAAATGACACTTGCTACTGATTTAGTGAGTTCCTTAAATAAGAGGCATTAGATTTGGCAAGGGCAAAGAGCTAGTTCTTTGACATACTTAAACCATTCGTAGTAATTTAGTCAACATGACTAGATATGGATACATTTTTAAGAGTAGGTTAAGCAGGTCATCACCATACATAAATAAGAAATGCTTACTACTTTTTCAGGCTTTCAAGTGTCAGTTTAAGACTTTTGAGTTCAGATCGTATACATCTGTCTCATCAAGTATTTACAAAATTCTCTAAAAGAAGGAACGAATGTTTCCTTGTATTGATTGGCGCATGTACTTGAAATCTCGGCTCACCTTCCCACCTCGTTAACCGAGATATGTTTGTGAATAATTGATTTAAGACTTCGGATATCCTGAATTGGTCTTTCCCCCCCTAAATTTAATTTTGTAGCATTCTTGGTCACTCACGCTTACGTATTTGGCCCTTTTCCTAGGTAAGTGGAGGTATACTTCGAATTTTCCCGGAAGGCAAGGCCCAGTTTGCCGACATTGAACCCAGGTTTGATAGACTGCTGTTTTTCTGGTCCGACCGTCGCAACCCTCATGAAGTGCAGCCAGCATACGCTACAAGGTAGTACTCCTCCCCTTCAGGAAGAAGTGGTCAAGAGCATGTAGGGTGGGAGGGGGTGGCTGGGGTGAACATGGACATTTTCTAACGCGTACTTTCCTGCTCTTCACCTGCCTTTATCAGAGGGCCTCGGTCGTAACTGTTTAATTTGAATAATTCTATAAGATTGATTCACAGTTGGTACCAAGTGCTTGTGAGTCTCTTTGCACAGCCGCTCCATGTCTGGGGTCAGTCAGGGGAGCACGGGGCTCCCGTCTTCCCTTAACTATGATCCGTTCTCGGATCTGGTGAGAGTATTCACTTGGGGAATAAAGATTAGATAGAGAAGGGAAAGGGCAACTTTGTTAAAGGTGGTCCGGCAGGGGTGGGGGGCAGAGGGATGACGTAGAAAAATGATACAGAAGAGAAAAACACATAACCAGAGAGTAGAAATACAGAGGAAGAAGAGTAGAGCAAAGACAAGTGGAGAAGAGGTATTTGGGAGTTAATGTTAGAAAAATCACCCTTCAGCTTTAACAGTAAGCGTCTGTTAGGCTTGTTACGCGCTCCTCTGCATTATTTTCTACGTTACACTCTCTTCCTACAAAGTTTAGTTTTCTAAACCTATTATGTTTAATGTATCCTTAAAAACATTTCTTTTACCATTAACCATGACCCAATTAAAATGTTTAGACTATTAAAATGGAAGATGTTACAGACATTGTTATCAAAATGAATATTTGGGATAAAAAGTGCTCCTTTTTAAATACCTATTTTTCATTATAGAAGGGACTTTGAACCTTACAGTCGTGAATCCCTGGCATGCATTTGCCTAGGTCCCTTAGATACACTGGGAGAGGAGCTGCCTCTTGATAGTGATGTTAGAGACGGGCCAGCATTTGATGAGGTTCAAGCTCTGAAGACTTTGTCACCTGTCCCTCCTTCTGGCTTCTCTCTGAGCCATGTTGCCTCAGCCGTAATTCATCGTAGCGAGTGCCGGCTGAGCGGTGTGGCTAGCGGCCAAAAGAATCCCTGGGTGGAGGCCGGGGGTCCCGTCACATCACACGGCGCGCCGTCCTGAATCCCCGCCTCGCCTCCCGTCCCCCCGGTGCCCGTCTCTGCCCTAGAGACCGCGTCACAGACCTTGCTTTTTATGGAATCTCGAATACGGTGTGGCTGTAGCCTTTCTAGATGAAGACAGAACCGACATTTTAGGTGGTAAATAGATGCCAAGACGATTAGGGAGTGCTCCAGGGGTTTGCAGGAGGGAGACAGGGCTGTTGAATTGGAATCGCCACTGGGCCTGGAGTGAGGGGAGCGGGGAGTAGGGCAGCGTCGGCCTCTGCCGGGAGCGGGGGCGGCTGTGGAAGTCCCGGCAGAGGGGGACGTGGGGACGAGGGGCCTCTAAACAGATGGCTGGAGGGAGAGGCAGGGGAGGCAGAGCCACGCCTGCTACTCTACAGCTGTCTTCTGGGAAGGCCTTGGGGCAGGTGTTAGAACTCTGATGACTAAGTAACTGAAAGTGTAGGGCAGGTGCGAAAGACGTACCAAAGTGTTTGTCTGTGCACCTTCCCTGTTGCCACGGCCGCCCACAGGACAGAAGAGGCTGCGTGGTAGGGGAGGGGCTGGAGCTCTGGAAGCCGGGAGGCCAGACCTGGAGCTCAGCTCTGCCTCTTTGCAGCTGAGTGGCCTGGGGCTTCGGCCTCCCCCGCTGCCCAGACTCCCAGCCTCCACTCTCCTCTGCCTTTGACTCGTTGCTTCCGCCGCGTTACAGGATTTAGTTCTGCCACGCTTGCTGGCTCCTCATTTGATCAGTGTCGCTTTGCCCCCAGCGAACACTGGCCAGAAGCCGCAGGACACTCTGACCGATGGCTGCGTTCTACTCAGGCGCTGGTCATGTGCAGCGTGCTTCCACGTCCTGTGGTGTGTGCACATTTCCCACGTTATTGGTACCGAAAGCTGTAACTAAGTGGTATTTAATAAACCAGAGATTCTTCAGTATTTGTGAAATGAGATACTCCAAGTGAGTGATGAAATTTTCAGAAAAATGAAACAAAACATAGTAAAATTGCTTTGATAAAAATCCTAAAACATTCTTAGCATAATTTAAGTTTCTTGATGACTCCAGGTTGTAAAATTGTAAACCCCCATCACGATTCTTTGCCGGTATGTGTGTAGTGATGTCCTCAGAAGTGGTGGAGACTTAGCCCTCCCTTGCTCTACAGGGCCCCTGGCCTTGAGTCCTTCTCTGTTTCTCTGCTTTTCTTTTAGAACTTGTGCTATTGATAGCGTGCTTTTTCTGTAACAGCCACTCTTACCTTCTTACTGTCTGTTTCTGATCTGCTGTGGGCTTGCAAAACAGATAATCAAGTAGGCTAAGTAGGTGTTAAGAAAGTCATAAAAACTCATCAACTCTGCAACATAAATTTTAGCGACTCCTGGCTCTCTGCCATACTCCTGAGCACTGGGACTACTGGTTAAGTGAGTGGGTTGTTGCTCCGCTCCCTTATCACCTGATGTCACCCCAAGTTAGGCATTATTTTGGCGTTACAAGTTTTAGTAGACCTTTGCAACAGAATACGCTTTGTTTTCCCCAGTGTGATCATTCTTACCCTATTCTGAATTTTCTTTTAGGTACGCAATAACTGTTTGGTATTTTGATGCAGATGAGAGAGCACGAGCTAAAGTAAAATATCTAACAGGTAAACATCTGGGGCCAGGGTACAGCGGAAGGAAGAGACCCCGCAGCCAGGCAGGGCTTTCCGTGAGCCAGAAGACTGGCTCCTTGTTTCCGTCTGATTCTTAATTCCCCTATTTAAGAGGGCTGCTCTTAAGTCATCTTCATTGTTATCTTGAACCGTCACAATTGCCCAAAGATGAGGAAAGTTTGAGACAAAGAAGTCTGGGAAAATCATTTGAGTCCAAGCTGAGTTTTTCTGTGATAATCCTTTTCAGTCACAGGCTGGCTTCCTCTCATTCTCCCCGCAGAGGAAAGGTAATAATATCCTTTCCGTGTTAGATGTACGTGCTCTGAAGAGTACTCCAGGTCTGCCATGTAAAATGTGGACATGAAGAAAATTAATACAAAGGGGATGAATTGACATGCTGAAATCAGTAAAGCAGACAGGCATGTGGAGTCCACGTCTGCCAGTGGCGTCCATAGGTCACCCCCAGTTACGGGTTATCTCCCGGAGCGGTTGGGTCTGAGGTTTCCATCGGATGGACCACTGACCTGTCTTGTCTTTAACCCTACCCTGTATCTCCACAAACCTGCTCAAGTTCGTTCATATTACTGATCTAACTAGCTGTATATTCATGAGCCCGTTGATAATCCCACATCAGCCTTTTATAAAACTATAAAAGTTGAATGTTCACGCATTTTCTGTGTATTTTTAAAGTTTATTTGTGACAGAAGCCTAGTAGTGTGCTTTCAGTGACGCTGAACACACTGTGCTCTTACAGCAGTTTGATTTGCTTTTCAAATAAAAGGAGACAAAAATCATTCTCTCTGTGTAGAGAATGATTTTTCCCTTGGAGGGTTTACTAGTTCAGCGTCTGTGCATGCCTCGTAATACAGTCCCGAGGGTAACTTTTGGAAGTGCAAGCGTGATCATTTTCAGATGATGTGTGTTTGCAAAGCTGAAACGCTGTGCGTACTGTTAGGAACTTAGTGGGAAGCAGTACTCTGGTGCTTACTGAATGAATGAATTTTTTTTTTTTACCTTGCAGGTGAAAAAGGTGTGAGGGTTGAACTCAATAAACCTTCTGATTCAATCAGTAAAGACGTCTTATAGAGCCTTTGATCCAGCAATACCCCACTTCATCTACAGTAATTATTGACGCTGTTTGTTAACTTGTGAATACGAATAAATGGGACAAAGAAAATAGACCACCAGTTGGCAATTTAAGGAAACAAACAACTTTTTTGTGTTGCATCAAAACGAAGATTTTGACTGTGTGGCTTTGTACTGCATGATTGACTCCAAACCTGTGATGGGAGGAATATAAGTTATCAGCTGAAAGTGGTATTTACATCTGGACATGAAATAAGTGCCCTAGGTAGAATTTTTTCATTCTTATATTTTGCCAGATCTCTCATCTAGCTGACTTCATTTCATCTCTCCCTTTTTTATATAGTCAAGTTTGAATTTGAAGTAATTTTTATATGATCAGGTACAATTTATCAAAACTGAATTGAGAAAAAAATTACAGTATTATTCCCCAAAATAGCATCCATCTATTTTTGTAAACCTCTTCGTACTATTAAATTTTGCCCTAAGAGGCCTCTTATAATGATTGTTGCCAGTGACTAATGATTACTTTAATTTTCTTTTTACTTAAAATAAGAAAAGGAGCACTTTAATCACCAGCTGAAAAATCCGATTGTTTTGTGTCCTGTCTTACACTAATTTGGACTCTTAAAAGTTGCTGCTGTTGTTTTCCTGACATTGTTAGTAGTGAAACATAACAGTAAAACCATCACCGTTTACTACCAATAACTTTTAGTTTATGCTTTATAAGAAAAAATACACAGTAAAAAGGTTTTATCTTTTAAGTTACGTTTAAAAAAAACTAAAGTGACTGGCACTAAATGAACTTGAGGTTATCCTCAGCATCAAGTTCCCAAGATAAAGGGCTTTCTTATGCTTTCAGGTATATATATCCTATAGATGTAGAAGATACTGTCCCCTTTCCTAAGACTTTTCCTTTTGCTTCCCGTCAAGTTGATTGTACTTTCAATTTTGCTGTTAACGTTTTCTTCCTACTCCTGTGCCCATCTGGTCAGCAGATCAGCACCTCGTTCCTGTTGGGTAGCGTCAAGGGGAGACTGTGCGCATTCAGACTGAACGGTGTTGGTAGAGACTTAACGTGAGTGACGCCTCAGACCACTGCTGACACACTCCCCAGACATGACGCTCTTCGTCAGTACCGAAAGATGGATGTTTAGCTTACAAACACAAAACACAAAGCAGAAAAACAGATACTTTTATGTTTCATGAGTTTGCTTTTTCACTTTTCAGGAAAAAAAAGAGGGAATACTACAAAATCACACAAGGCCTCCCAGACTTCTGTTATTTAACACCTGAATTAGGATGGGTGTCTCAGACTTCAGTTTCCTAGGCTCTTCAGCAAAGCCCTAAGGGTGGTATCTGTATTTTGCGTGAATTATGGGTGTAACACAGACCTTTGCCCACTTCAGTTTTCTATCTCTATCCTTAATCTTCTTTGCCAAAATAATGTGAGTGTACAGAAATATTTCTGTATATTTCAACCTATGACAGTTTTAGCATCTGTATAGTTTGTACTCAATTAGAGACCTTTTCTATGGAAAGCTCAGTAATTTTTATTAAAAGATTGCTATTGTTCATGTAAAACATGAAAAAAAAATTGTTTAGTGAACTGACAGTGTGGACTTAGGGTGGGATTGAATATTCAGTATTGTGATCTCACTTCCGGAGAACTTGCAGGAGACAATTACAGTTGACTGTTGTTTTTCCTCGCCCGCGTGCAGTTTCGTTCCGCTTCCTCTCCTAGTTCCATAGAATACAGCGGAGCGTCTCGACAGTAAGTGCCTCTGCCCCCTGCCCTCCACACTCCCCGAGCGCAAGTGGTCTTTGCCACCTGGCCTGCGGTGCAGTGCGCTGCCTGAGGCCACAGCTCAAAACGCGCTGTTGTTTTTAGGTCTAGTAGAAATGGTATGATGTGGATGGGAGGCTTGTCTGTGAAGGTGTACAGCAACAGCCTTTTAATCTGGGAGCCCCTGTGTCATTCAGATGTGTTTCTCTGCAGTTGTGCAAAGTGTCAGATTCTACTACCTGTGGGTTTTGCTCACCAGACAGGTTTTAAGTTTTGGTTTTTTGTGTTTTTTTTTGTTTTTTGTTTTTGGAAAAGTTTATATAAGTTCTTGGAGATTGTTGTGAAAGGATTGAGAAATCGGGATAGCCATTCCTTTAATATCCATTTAAAATCTGTTCATTTCATGTTAGTGGGACCGTTAACTTGTCACCAAGCAGGACTCTATATAAAACAAAACTTAAAACTTTTTGTGGCCTATATGTGTTTAATCCTGGTTAAAGATAAAGCTTCTAATGCTGTTTTCATTCACCATATTAACCAGCCGTAAAACACAGACCTTTATCCACAGCAGGCAAAGAATTTGAGGATTCATCTACAGATAGACTATAAAGTCATGTAATTTGAGAAGCGGCGTTTCATTATGAAAAAGCTCTCAAGATGCTTGTAAAGCTAATCTAATTAAAAAGATGTATAAATGTTCTTGAAAAAATTATGCTTATTTCCGCCTGTCTTGTTTTTTTTTTTAATCCTTTATCATACACTGACTTTCTTAATGGGCCCTTCCGTCAGATAATGTGCTTTTCTATCACACGTCTCTGGTTCAGTCCAGAGCGTTTGGTATTGCTTTTTATAAATGATAACGGGGGGAAGAGAGAGAACAGTAAAACATGGGCGTCCGACAATTTCAGCAACATCCTGGGAGTAGCTGAACTGGGTCCACGGGCTCCATGACCTCTGGCTGGATTCTCAACATTTGGATTCTTGCCCTTTTACTAGGATTTTTACGCTGTCGAGCATATCTGTGTCGCCCCTCTGCTGCAAAAAGGAAGGGCCACTAGGTTCTATCGCTGACCGTCACAGGTGTCCTATGTGTGTATGCAAGAAACTGAAGAGCTCTCACAATACGAGGTCAATATGCAAGTTCATTTATCTCTTACTTAAAATATTTTTCGGTATGGTGTTTTTGTTATATCCCAACCTATCCTAGGGCATTTGGACAGTTGTGCTGAAATATAGCTGCGTGGATTAAAGGAGAGGGCAGATGAGCTAGGGACGAAGACTTAATTAGATTTGGTAGTGTGGTAAAAGAGCACAGCCAGGATTGACAAATCTGTTTAGTTCTGGCTCAGCCACTTAGTTGCGTGACCTTCGGAGCCCTTTTCATCTGAAAACAAGCACAGTAGCTCCAATCTTAAGAGTCGTGTGCGACCTAAATGAAACACACATTTATTCCCAAGACAGGGTTCAAGGATGAGAGCGTATCTCGGTTGTGGATGGCAATTACATGTATCTATACCATATATTTGATAATATAATTGTACATGGACTTTCAGAAGTACCCAGTCTCCACTGCTTCAAGAATAGGTTTTCAGACATCTTAATGCCAGGAATGCGTTCTCCAGATTCTGCCGTTGATTTTAAGGCAGAGTCTTCTCATGATGTTGACCAGCAAGTAAATTTCACCTGAAACATGGCAGTGCTCAAGGACGGACCATTGGACCAATGATATGTATAAAGGGCAGGGCCTCATGAGCCGGGAAGAGTTTTACAAGTAGAAAACACTTAAATATAAACCAGTTCATAAGACAGGGAGAGCCTACACAGCTGCAGGCGGCTAAAGCTCTTCTTACCGAATGGATAATTTCTGCGCTCTGAACAGGTGGTGTAGGGGTTACTGGATAGGGAGTTACTGGATGAGACCTCTCTTTCATTGAGATTAGGCCTTTTTCTGCCAAAATTGTTACGTTTCTATGCTTTTCTATAAAATGCCTTTACAGTTTACTAAGTCAAAGGTATAAATGCACACGTAGCTAAGTCAGCTTGTTCTGTAGGGGTTGTTAAGGAAAACAGCCCCTTGTGTCCTCCTGAGAAAAGATTTCACCTCTTCTAAGTGATTCTTTGGGTGTGTGCCCGGTTCTTAATACAGTTGCGTCGCTACATTCTTGTTTTTTTTTTTTTTGCGGTACGCGGGCCTCTCACTGTTGCAGCCTCTCCCGTTGTGGAGCACAGGCTCCGGACGCGCAGGCTCAGCGGCCATGGCTCACGGGCCCAGCCGCTCCGCGGCATGTGGGATCTTCACGGACCGGGGCACGAACCCGTGTCCCCTGCATTGGCAGGCGGACTCTCAACCACTGCGCCGTCAGGGAAGCCCGCGTCGCTACATTCTTGATTCTTCATTGCCCGACATTTATCTCCTAACTTCCCCACATGGAAGGTAAGAATACAGGTGTCTCTCCAGCCCTCTTCCACTGCCCCTGCCACACCTCCCCGATCTTCTTACATAATTACATTGTAACTTAGGTCACATTAATGTTAGACTATCTGGGACTTCCCTGGCGGTCCTTCCCTGGTGATCCAGTGGTTAGGACTCTGCGCTTCCACTGCAGGGGGCACGGGTTCGATGCCTGGTTGGGGAACTAGGATCCTGCATGCCGCGTGGCGCAGCCGGGGGGGGGGGAATATATATATATATATTTGTGCTAATTCAAAGGTGAGACGCAGAATAAACCATGATGACTTTCCCAGTTTACTTTTTTCTTTATGTCTTGCTTGATCTTTTGTTTTCCCCTGTGGCGTCTAACCTGCAGGAACCCGGAGTGGTTGCCCTTTGTGCCTGGCGCACAGCTGCCTTCCCTAGACCTCCTTCCACCTTGTTCTGGAGATCCTATCACCACTCTCCTTTGGGTCTCCCATTTCCTGGGTCCCATGTCTTCCTCCGTCTTGGTTTACTTCCTCAATCTGGTGGGCCTGGGCTTCAACGCGTTCTGTGAAAGAGTATGTGAGAGCTCAGTTCCCTGAGACCAATGTCTTGTCTTTTTTTTTTGACCCTCACATTTAATTGGTAACTTGCCTGAGTTTAGAAATCTAGCTTGGAAATAATTATCCTTCAGAATTTTGAAGGCACTGTCCAGGTTCTAAGTTGCAGTGTGGATGCTGAGAAATCTGAAGCCGTTCCTGTTTCTAATTCTTTACATGTCATCTGCTTTTCCTCTGTGGACGCTCACGGAATAATTCTTTGTCCCCAGGGCTCCACCGTTTTACAGTCACCCGTTCTCCACCAATACGCTGGGTATGCAAACTGTAAATTCGTGCCGTACATTCGGGGACATTTTCTTAAATTGTTTCTCCCCTCCACCCTCTCTGCTCTTTCTGAACCCGTGTCATTCAGACAGTGCACCTCAGGTTTGAGCCAGCTGCTGTCGTCTGCTTCCTCTGCGTCTTTGTCCTTTACCGAGGAGACGTGTCTTTTTCAGTTCTGCCCGCAAGGGTTTCATGTCTGCTCTCACGTTTTTAATTTTCAAGAGCTCTCTTTTATGTTCTCTAAATTTTTAAAGTATAGAAAAACCTATTCTGTTGAACAGACACAGTATTGAACGTTGTTTTCTGTTTGATTTCATTTTTGTCTGTCAGGTTAGAAGCTTTCCTCCCAGGTCTGATAGTTCTTGCTTGTGTGTTCATATTTAAGGGGGGGAGTACTTGAGCTTCTGGTTTTCCAAGGAATAGTAGTTGCTGCCTAAATCTGAATCTCTTTCACTATCTTCCCAACAAAGTCACCTGTAACCTGTACCTGCAGCATAACCGTGAAACACAGAAAAAAGTTCAGCTCATGGGAAACTAGAGCCGGCATCAGAATTCCTATGAAGGCAGAGTCAGGTGGAAACTATATGGTAAAGGGACAAGGGCAGGGGGCCTAGCTGTGGCAGTACACAGGGCAAGAACACAGGGCCCCCAGCACGAGTGATGGGGATACTGACGCCTCACCCCAGTGCGTCGCAGCGCTGCCCACGGGATCATCAAGGGGAAGTCTGAATGAGATTGAAGGGGGCTGGGTGAGGAATGTACCGTGTCTGGGACAGGGGGAGATGTCTCCTGGAGGCTTGATGATAAAATGAAAGAAGGAAGTAAGGGTCTTAGAAAAGTAAAATTACAGAATCAGGTGAGACTCCAAGCCCCTACCACCTCACAAAGAAAAGTGTCATCTCTGAGAAATACCGTATTTCACTGTTCCAACAGAAGAAAACACTCTTGAATCAGAAACCCCTCATCCTTGCCTACATCGAACCAACTGTTTCTGCAAGTTAAGGAAAAGGATACCTTTCAAAATGAGCCGAAAAGGGAAGAAAATATCTACAAACACTACTATCTATAAGAAGAAAGAAGACGAGAAGTATAGCTGCTGAAAATTCTCCCCTCAACCGTAAGGCAGAAAACTGCAACAATATTCGGTGTGAATTAAATATCCTCCAACAGAACTTGGCAGGAAATAAAAATTAACACCTGAAATTCGAAATTCAAAATCTCAGAACAAAAATGGTCCAAAAGACTCCTCAGGAAGCTGTGAAACAAGAGCTGATGTAACTCAGTAGAGAAATTGAAAATGACAAAATTAAAAAGATTAAATTGTGAGGTACCCCAGGAAGAATAGATTCAACTGAATATATAATGAAGGTCATTAAAAAAAAAAAGTAGGAAAGCAGCCCAAAGTACAAAATAAAATAGGCACAAAGAGTTGGAAAGCAGGATGGACACATACACGCCTGCTATACCAATGAGAATGTACAGTCTACAAATAACAACCACGGTGGCTCTCACAGACATGCCAAGAAGCTAGACTGCATCCTCCCCTCGGGGATCCTATGGAGGTGGCTATCTGAGTATCTGATGTTAAGAATGCAACTGAACAGGTGTCTGGGTGCATCTTACCTTACCTATGGAATTATTTTAAATGTATACAAATACATAAAGGAATCCTGTGAGGAATCTTTTGTTAAAAAAAATCCAGGTTCCTTTCATGCAGATGCAGATTTTCATGTATTTAGTTTGCAAGGCATGCTTATAACCCGGAATGATTTGGGTCTTAAGAATATCCTATCTTGAAAATACAAACTTGGGTTCTTCAGGGAAGTATGGGGAAGAGTCAGTGTTACATTAAGATGTTTTTGCAAAAGCAGGTAACAGTGGAAGTTGAGAAACGCCAAGAATTTAACAACAGGCCCCTCTTCTTTCTTCTAGACCTCTGATACAGGGGCAAAGGACATTATGTCCTAGGAAGCTTTCAGACTAACCTAGATGATACACAACAAAATAAGAAGTGCCAGACATTCAAAGGAAGAGTACTGTGATTTTGAAAGCAGTAGAAAGTATAGGTCCTACCGTGTCTGGAAGACATTCTGTTGGGGAGTACCATGTTTTGCCATATGTTTGTTAAGTGTTAAGAGTGGAAGGTGAAATGAAAACAAGTCTAGGGAGATTACGGTGCCCTGTAGATCAGTCCTCGTTTGTTTGAACAAGCACACACTCTTGGCCATGCTGTGTCCCCTCCTCTCTCAGGACTTGAGATCCTAACCTACCGTTTCCCTTTATGAGCCAGAATTAGCAATTACTATGCCCGTTGAAGTTTCTCCCTTATATCCTTTTGGCTTTGCTTTTTGCCTTCGGTTTTTCAGAGAAATTTAATTTACTCAGAGCGCCATCTGGTGTTCAGTTAAGCCAGAGGGTATAAATCTTTTGGTAGGTTTATTAGCACCAGAACTGAAGAAAGCAAACAGCGGCTTGTTTCTTTACAGTCTACAACGGTGTAAATTTTAATATTGAGATGATTCCTGAGTCACTTAAGAAGATCAGGTCTTTCACTTTTCATATCAAAAGGTGTGTGATGATGTGTACGGAATTATATAACTTCTGACATTCTAGTGGAATGTTAGAAAAATAAAGGAAAACCAGAGCTGATCTCCACATTGCATCCTTTTCTGTTCATTTCAACTCCCCAGGCAATTCAATCGGTAATAATAATTGTCCGATAGTCTCACTTCATTTGGCGGATATGCTACTTAGTCAACAACAAACACAACAAATTGCTAAGAAGGCACCAATAGCCTCAAGGACAAAAAATTGAGACAAAGAACCACAGGAACCCACTGCCCCTCAATAAGGACTAACTGCAAAGAGCTCCGCTTTTTCACCAAGCAGCCCAGTGAGAGGAGATACCGCGTGTGCCCCAGGCACGGGATCCCAGCTGGGTACTGAATCTGCAGGAAGATGCAGCGCCTCTTTCACTTTGACATTCTAATTTACTTAGAACTCCTCTAAGCTTTGGGGAAAAAAACAACAAAACTACAAGCTCAGAGCTTTAGGACAACGGGATACTCTGCGAGATTTCTGTCCCATTTTCCCACCCACCTTAGAATTTCCAGTTAGGATACGCATTTATAGTCTACTGTGAAAATCTACTATACTTTCTAAGTCTAAAGTTGCTTTGCTAGATATTGTATAATCTTGACTTTAAAAAACACCGAATTTTTATAGAAGTCAAGTCTGCTCCCCTTCTCCCACCCCATCTCTCCAACATGAAGGGCAACAACATTTAAAGGTTGACCCCCAAATTACTGTTATCAGGATAGGAAACTTGCTTTAAAAGGGAAAAACAAACCAACAAAACAGAAAACTATTTTTCTAATATAAATGACAGATGATTGGGGAGTATCAGAATTCTGAGCGATTGACGCGAAGGCTCATTTAATCCCAAATTTAAAATTAACTTGTTTTCTTGCCAACTAACATTCCCATCATCCCTTAAAACTGACCAGCTCTTGATTTTACAACCTGAGTATTTCTCAAACCCATCCTCTCTCCTTCCCTGCCACTGCCCCCCTTTCTTCCTCCTGTCTCTGTTGCCCCCGGAGAACTGGTCAAAACACTTCTCGAATGTTCTTGGCTGGCTTACAAGCCTTCCCAACCCTCACTGCACCAGCCCCACCTGAATCAGCAGATGTGTTATGAACAGGGGCCATACAAACTGGATGTAAAGCACAGAACGTGACGGACGGATGGGTCTTTCTGCCCTCAGGGTCTGCGTACACCTGTCCTGTCTGCAGTCCTTCTCCTGCCATCTTACCCCTCACATCTTACATATACTCCGTCCACCTGGAACAGCTTAGTTCTCCCAGTCGAACGTGCCACGGTCTGTTTCCAAGCCTTCGTGTTCCTTCTCTGCAAGGCCCTTTCTATCCCCCACCCCGACCCCAGGCGACCCTGACTGGCCCTAGGAGACTCAGCCGGATGTAGAACTTGTCCCTCCGTCCCCTGAAGCCCTGCGCTATTCTGCTGATTGTCTTTTAAGTTCCCGCAGCGCCGGGCAGCCCGGCAGAAGCCCTTCATAGCACTTACTGCGCTGAAACCACTCTGCTTGTCTCACTCCCCGACTAGGCTGTAAAGCTCCTTGAGGACTCGGGCTCTTACTTACTTCAGAGCCCCAGAACCTTGCACGGTTTTGCACCCCTCCGCCCCCAAAAAGTGTTAAACTGCACAAAATTTGTTAAATTGAAGTAGAGAAAATGATCCTCTATGAAAGTGTAACGGTATATATTCAACATAATACACATTTTAAGTCATTTATCTATAAATGTTTATTAAATACTATTGTTTAACTTCATGCTTAAGAAATATCAAAACTTGTAAACACTCAACCAGACAGGCTAAAATGAAAAGGACTGACAACAGCGTTAAGACTGCTGAGCGACAAGCTCTCATACACTGCTGGCAGGACTGTAAACTGGCAGCATCTACTAAAGCTAAACATAAATGCACCTGGTGACCCTGCATTCCAGACTGGGGATATGCTCAGCAGAAATGAGTAAGAATGTTCTTAGCAGCGTTATTCAGAATGGCCAGCCCCAAACTGGAGATAATTCCAATGTCCATTAATATCAGAATGATAAACTCGGGCATATTCATACAAATACTACAGAGCAATGAAAAGACTGAACTTCTGCTACCCATAGCAACAAAGGTACTACTTCATAGTGTTTAAAAACAAGCTAAACTAACCGTGGTGACAGATGAAAACATTGGTTACTCTGGGGTGGTGGGTGTTGGCTGGCAAGAGTTGCCCATAAGGACACTTCATGGCAACTGAAATGCTCTCTAACTGCACCTGCGTAGTGGTGACTCAGCGGGGAACCCAGCTGCACCTTACGGATGTAAAGGCGTGTTGCAACAAAGTTAAGAAAAAGAAAACCTGTGAACTAAGGCCCTGAAAATATGCCAACACACTGGCGGTAGAGCCATGAGACAAAGTAAACTGACCAAACTATCTCTGTCCCTTTGCTGGGACGTGGAAAAGAATGTTTTTTAAAAGAAATATAATTTTTTACATACACAAATGGTATTCCTAAATGGTTTCAACTTTGGCTTAAGGTTCATAATACTGTTTCCAGGTGATGGTCCACTTGTACATAAACTAGGCAACTTGGTTATGTTATATATGCCGGTTACTTAGTACTGAGTTTTAACCAGTCATTTTGCTAAAGCGCTGAGAGAACAGCTCAACCCTGGCCTACAGAATTACAGTGGCTATTTGTTACCAGCAATATTCCAAAAGGAATTTATTTTACTCTGCTTATCTACTTTAACCTCAAACCTGCTGCCACAGAGAAATAAAAATCTTTATAATTTTATAAAATTTTATAATATAGGAAATGTATTTCCTGTTAAAATTTTGAAGAAAAACCAAAAGCCTTGAGTACCGGAAAACAACTAGGTTGTATTTTTGGTCAATATGTCCGATACTATGAATATTACCAGTTCTGGGAATGAGTTTTAATATTAATAAAGGAATTTAACCAAACACCTGACAGGATTCCTCACTGACTATTTTAAGGAAAATATGCAAGTTAAAAAGATTAACAGATTTAAATACTTTTAAAAGAAAGAACAAAAGTATCTAAAAATTATACGTGTATGCACCCAGAAGCAACTCTGGGCTACAGTACACCTACGAGTGAATATAGCACCTTCAGACATAAAATAGTTTAAGTTACAATCTCATATATGTATATATAAAATAGAACATTTAATATGGGTGAACTAGGTTATAATCTGCAAATCTTAGCACTAACCAGGAATTCCTGAGCGGCTGACACTGTGCTATGAGGTAATACGGGTGGGACATGTGAGACCCATTCATTTTTCAGAGATTTCTTTCAGCTTTTGACTTAGAGGCTATCACCTGCAAGGCACCAGTCCAAGTGCTCATTAATCTGAGGCTCCAAAACTTCACTCTGACAAACAGGACAGTGAACCATTTTGCTCTGACTAGATGAACTGCTGGCGTTCTGCGTTGCAGCTATAGGGCGTGAACCACACTTTGGATCGTTACCACCACTCTGTGTTTGCTCTTTCGCGATAAAAAAGTTGTCGAAAACAGTCCTGTCTTCGAGCCTGGGGCGTTTACTTGGGAATCGATCTTCAGGCCCACCTGCAACCTGGGGTGCAGTCACAGATGTCGATTCCACTGCTTTTAGAGGATTTCTCAGGGATATCTTAGAAGATGTCACCCTCCTTTGAGAACTAGAAGAGACCGAGTTTTTAGCGATGTCACCAACCGTGAGGCTTTTCATCGGAGACCCACTCACACTGCTGAAAGCCTTGTGCCTGGAGACCGATACTCCAGAGAAGTAGTTGCTTAAAACACTCTGGTGACTGGAACCGAGAGCAGCGGAGACTGAGGAAGTTTTCCCACTTGAGCCGTTCTGTTCAAATGTCACCTCAGGTTTCGAATTGGGTCTTAAGGCATTTGCTGAATGGTCCTGATTTAAAACATCCTGGGTTTTAACAGCATGTGAAGTGAGACATTTCCCAGATGAAGGCGAATTGCTGGTTCCCCCTAGAACATACCCTTTCCCACTGAAAGGGATTAACAACTGTGTCTCCCCTCTGTTCGGTTTACCTGCAAAACAAGCAAATAAGATTCTTCCTTGGCTCAAAATCAATACCATAACAAATATTAAGCTAATGGATAGCTTTTCCAAATGAAGAAATACTACTTCTGTTCTGCATTAGAACTATGTTGTAATTATCTACTGACGGGAGACGGACAATCCCCAGCAGTCCGAAAGCTGCGGTACTGAGAAAACATAAAGGACAAAAACACCCTCTCATATTTAGATAAGCAGTTCTATCACACAAACATCAATAGCAAAGTAACTTTTACCTTGAAAATTGCTTTTAGTATTCTTAAGTGTCATTCCAGAAGCGAAAAATCTGCTACCACATTATCTTCCCAACTCACAAAACTGAGGGCATAAAATCTCTCCACATAAGTTCTTCTATAGCTTCTCAACTTACTAATAAACACTTCAGATACGAGAAATATGGCTTATGTCTGTGAGTCCTTATCACATCAAATCCACAACTTCCCAAGCATTAACTTTAGTAACCTTGTTACCCCTTCAAAAGGCAGTTACTCTAGGGGCTTCCCTGGCAGTCCAGTGGTTAAGACTTCGCCTTCCAATGCAAGAGGTGCAGGTTCGATCCCTGGTCAAGGAGCTAACATCCCACATGCCTCCAGGTCAAAAAACCAAAACAAAACAGAAACAATATTGTAACAAATTCAATAAAGACTTTAAAAAAAAAAGTGAGATTACAGAGCTAAAAAAAGTTAAAAAAAAAAGGCAGTAACTGTGAACTGCACAGGAAAGGGATAAATCCTGAAGATGAAGTACTAGCGTAATACATGTCACATCCTTTTCCCATTCTCCCAGTGAAAATACATACATCAACAGAAGTCACCTGGATAGACTCCAACTGATAGGAAGGGGTGTAGCTAGGACTTCCATTCCGGGCATTGTTATCTGAATTACTGTTTTCATTCGGACAGTCTTTGCCTTCTGTTTCTCTCCTAATGACGCAGTGAGTCAGGACAGGGAAAGGGGTCGCCCTGGAATTTCAGCAGTGGGAACTACTTCTACTTCTACTCACATGTGTGTACAGCAGAGGGTAGTTTTCTACCCCCATTTCATGGACAACGGGATTTTTTTTTTCCCTTGAGTCCACACTTGAAACCGTCTACACTAGAAACAATCCTTAAGCTTACCTAATGCCAGTTCCCTGATGGACAGTACTGTCTACGTTACAGCCACAGCCGTGGAAAAGTTGGGAGAATATAAGCAGAGTTACCTTTCTTTTCTGCTTCTGACACTGGCTGCTTTCCTAGTTTTGTCTTTCCTTTGCCTTTTTTTGAGCAGCTCTCTGGCTCCTTGATTTTTATGTAGGCGCCTCCACAGGTTTTCTGGTGCTCAGCCCACCAGTAGTCATGGGCAGAGGGTGCCCTGTTGGTGGCGCGTTTCACGTAGCCGTAATATGGCTTCTTGTACTGACACGGCCCATTGCAGCGCCACCAGTGTCGCCGGTACTCATCCACCTCGTCGTGGAAAGTATGGTACACCTGGGTCGAGACGAAGTTGTCAGCGTTAAGCATGCAGGTTAACAAGTGTAAGAGAATGAATATACAAGCAATATATAAGCAGCCCCCCACCCCCTTTTTCAACTTTCCAGTTTCCCAGAGCTTTCTGAAGTTGTGTTTTGGGAAAGACAGTAACGATATTTAGCTTCTCTTCAAAAGTTCATTTTAATGGGAAACAGCAGCACTTAACTTAGTGCTTCATAAACTGTGTAAAGATAGAAAAAGGTGAGACTAGAAGACAAGAAAATTAAAAATAAAAAAACCAAAAAGCTTCTATAAATGCTAAAAGTTTTAGAAACCCTATTTCTAAACGATGAAAAACTAGGATAAAGACAAGACTTTATATAATGCTGTAATAAATAAGAATTGTTCCCACTGCCAAGCTGAAATCTTCCCCTGTAAGTAAACAAAGGGTCCTGAGGACTGTTTCCTGTAAATGCTGGACCCAAACCTCGTGCAGCATCTGTCAAACCCGCCCCGCACATGCGCCCGGCTCCGCCCATTTCTTCATAATAAGGCTTCGGGCTATCATTTTATCTGATCATAGGTGAAAAGCTCTCCAGGACTTGAAGGTTCTCAGCCTGTACCCCTAGTGGCTATTACCGGCCTGGCACAGGGAAGGTGCTCAGTGTTTGATGACTGAGTGAAAAGCTTCGAGTCAAATAAAATTCTCTGTAAATGTGCTTTTCAGTCCTTCAACAGGATCCGTCTGTTTCACCCTCTAGATGAAATCTTACTTAGAGCCTAAGCAGGAGACAGACAGGACGGCTATAGACCCCCCCCACCTCGAGAGTACTGAGGACGGCAGGGCACCATCTGAAACGGATACTCCTGAAGGACTGAGCACCTTCTCCTCCTGTCCTCTCAGTGAAACGTTACTGTTTATATAAGGAGCACAGCATATGAGTTTTGTTTTGTTTAAACCAAGGCATTTAACTCTTTAGTAAAGTCCCCTTGTGGGAAAGAATGCTAAGCTTTCCATAACTCTACAGATAAATAGTTTCGTAATCACCATCTCTCCATCAGAAGCAAACAAACTCTATTGTTTGGTAAGCACGCCAACGACGCCAATTATGGTAGGTGCAGAAGAGGCTGGAGGAGAGAGGGTCTGGGAGCGAGGAGGCCTGCGAGACCCTGCCCGCGCTCTCGTGTTGACAACACTCCGCTTAACAATTCAGCGGCAAAGACCACAGCGAACTGCATCTGTTTTGCTTCCAGCTTCTGTAATTCCTATAGCCTGGGGATGTAACTTTTTAACCCTGTAGTCACTAAAATAAAATTGTTCTCAATGTGGATGCCCTGTGGAGTGTGCTATAACGTGATGGAACCCGTGAAAGCAAGGGGTGTCCACCTGATAAAGCCTCCTAGATGAAAACACACAGACATCCAAGATAGAAGGGCATATCCTCTTCCAACTGAACAACAGGAAGTATACTAGGACTTTGCTTAAAGTGTGAATTCTGATGAAGAAACTAAGTCTTTTCCACTAGCAACTCCATAATTCTTGTGCTACTCTGGATTTTATGTGATTGTGTTAATGCAAGCCACTTCCCTGATGCTGAAGGAACTCTGTCCGGTAATTAAATGAGCTCTCTAGAAAATTAAACTGACGGCTAGAGAATAATACACAGAGGGTCAGCACTTCTCGCTTTCCATCACACTGGCCTTTGTTGCCTTTTAAAGGAAGGAAATATCTAAACACACCAAGGCATTTAATCTTTGTAGGAATTAATATTTCTGTTTGGTTCCATTCAATTCCATATTTGCTAAGCGCCTGTAGAGACACTGCACTACACATCTCATGCAGAGGTATGTAAGGACAGACAAGAGCCGCCCCGTGAGAGGTATGAAAGCAGAATAAAATAGCGTAAAAGGTTAAACAGCTGCCGAGCAGGTTCCAGGAGGGAGAAGCTGTATCTCACTGTAAAGATGGAGGTCGTTTTGACAGAAAATAGGAGAAGTGGCATATTTTAGGAAGAGGGTATATGAGGACAGGCACGGAGGTGCAAAGTCCAGTTAGAAACGTTAAGACATAAGCAGGGGGGCTGCAGAAGGTAAGAGAAAGGGAAGAGCAAGGTTATCTGAAAAAATGAATCAGTAATAACAAAAACAACTAACATTTAATGAGTACTCAAACTGTGCTAAAACGTTTTGCACGTACTTCCTCTAAGCCTCACAGGACCCAACAGGTAGGTGCCGTCATTACCCTCCTTTCACGTGAGTAAACTGAAGCGCAGAAGAAATCAGCGGGTCCCACAGTGAATCAGTGGCGCCAGCGTCTGGACGCAAGCAACCTGACTCTTCCTGCTTTTTTGACCCCAGGCTCTGCCATCTCCTACAATATCATGCAGAAACACGAATCAAAGACTTCTGAAGAAGGGAATGACATATGAAATGGTGGCAGAATATGGGACAGACTGGAGGAGGACACGACGAGGCAACAAAATTAGGAGCGGACTGTAGTAGTCCAGAAGAGAGGTACGCAGGCCTGCAGTAACCCTGTGCAACGTGCTGCCCTCGTGGCTGGAGGCACCAGGGTACCGCTGGTGCGGCCGCCCTTCGCCTACGTGGTCCTCGACAGGCCAGGCAGCTTCTCTGGGCCTCTCACTTGCTGTGGAAAATCCTCAAACATAGTATTCGTTTCTACCCAGTTCTCTATTTTCAGGAAGTACTGAATAAATAACTGCTGAATATCATAAATGTGTGTGGCTTTATATACCGTTATATTGGCTCCCGTCAGGCGATTGATGCGATGCATATGTTTACAAAACTCTGGGCCGTGCCCTTCCCGATCTTTATCGTTATTCGTGACAAATAAATAGGCATGTATCATTTCATGCAAGAGGGTCTGAAACAGAGAACAGTCAAATTAATTTGTTATGGTGCTTTTGAAAATAAAAATGCATTTTCTTACTCTACCTGGGGTCTTAACCTTCTTTGGATCACAGGCTCCGTTCAGATACTGAACAAAGTCATGAACGATCTTTCTAGAAAACTTACATAAGCACACATTCACAAAACTTTGCCTCTATAATATCCAAAGCTCTGTAGGTCCCAGGCTAAGAACTCTTGTTCCAAGAAAGCCTTTTTAATTATTAATCAAAATCCAGTAGAAAAGACTGACAAATCCAACTACATGAAAATTTAAAAATTCTGTATGGAGAAAAAATTTTATAAGTAAAGCGAAAAAAGAAACTCAGAAAAATATATGTGCAACCACCTCACAGCCTATTAATTCCTAAAATATAAAGAACTCCTAAAAGTCCACAGGGAAATGACCAACAATACAATTTTAAAATAGGCAAATGTCACGGACAGGTCAGAGAAAATGAAACATATATGATCCATAAACATGTGAAAAACGTTCAACGTCATTTATAAAAACAGAAATGCAAACTAATACATTAGTATACCACTTCTTGCTTATCAAGACTGGTAAAACTCCTAAAGTTTGACACCATTAGTAAAGCTAAGGGAAAATAAGCACTCCCATATATCACTGGTAGGAGTGCAAAATGGTACAAATTCTCCTCTCCCTGGGGAGGAGAATTTGATAACGTCTAACGAAATTACAAATCCATTTATCGTTGGACTCAGCAATACCCAGACTAAAATGAAAGGCCGTACATATGAGGTACTTTCTCGGTGGCACTGCTTACAGAAGCAAAAGAGTGAGAGCAGTGTTTAGCCATAGGGGCCTTGCTGAAAGAAGAGCCACATAATGGAATTTCATGCAGCCATAAAAAAGAAAGAAAAATTTCTCTATGAAATGATTTGGAGGATGCTACAGACTGTATCATTGTAATGAAAAAAGGCAAAGTACAGAAGAGTATACACAGAATTTTGTATAAGAAGTATGCTATGTGGTGGGGAGGGCGTAAGAGTGGATATAAATATTGGCAAAACAGAACAACGATAGAAAAAAGAAACTAATAACAGTATCCTTTAGTAGGTAGAGAGTTCAGAATAGAGGAATGGGGGAGATCAAGATTTCTTTGTGTACAGCTTTCTATAGTTTTGGGATTCTGAATCATGTAAAAATTTAAAACAAACAGTAAAACCTGCTCATTCCACACCAAGGATGCAGCAGTTTAGGTGCAAAGTTAACAAAAGCACTTAAGGCTGCTATTTCATACTTTATTCTAAAAAAAAGTGAATACAAAAAGTGAAAATCATAAAGGTCTTCAAAAGCATACCTTTTTCATAATCCTCCATAGTTTTGTGAAAAAAATAATTTCCATCAGAAGAAGTAGACTGGCATTAATGAACTTTAGTCTTACAAAATTATGCTGAACAGCAAAATGGGAGAATCAAACATTTTAACTTGGTCATTATGAAACCATCCCTTTTAAAATTATCAACTCTATCTTTTCAAGAAAATGCCACTCTACTGAGACTTAGAGTCAAAGGCCATTCTACATTTCAGATGTCTCTCAACATTCTAAAATAACGACAACCATTCTCAGAAAGGAGAAACTACTTAGGTTCCTGATTTTTGGTCCAATTTAAACACATCTCGAAAATGGGACATGGCATTGTACTGAACACTTCTATTTTTATATATCTACCATTTTCCACATTTAGGCTCTACACAACATGGTCCCCAAATACCTCTATTTCCCACCACTGTTCTACATCTGGCCAAAAACAAGTACTTCTGCTCCTAAACATGCCGTAAGTTTAGTGGCCTCGCTTCTGTTCACAGTCCTCCCGTTCCTTCTGTCAAGATAGTCTCCTCTACCGTGTGTACGTGAGAGAATCCAATCTGTCCCGTCAGGCTCACACCCATGTTTTAGTTTGCAGTGGTTATAACAGTCCTAAGGGGACAGGACAAGAGCTTTAGGGCCAGGGAAACCAGAGCCTAAAGCGAGGATCTGGTATTCATGATCCACGTGACCCTGCACAAGTTACAACTTGCCCCTCACCCTTAAAATGGAGATACCCTAATCTTGCAGGGCTTTGGTAAAGGCAAACACTACAATAACCAGGGTAGTCCGGCACGCAGTAGGCGTGGTGATGTTACTAGTAATAAAATCCACATCTCTGAAGCTTTTCTTGACCTCCTCAACCAGTTTAAGTCTTTTCCTTTTCTGAGTCCTACTGATTATAATTTAGGCAGCTACTTTCAATACAGGCCACAGTCCCCCTATTCTTCCTCTGTCCACCTTCCTGATCTGATGTTAGAACTTTCTGCCAACAGCAGATGCTCACTTGAAGCATTAGCACCTATTTCCCATTTTCTTCTTGCCCATTACCTTAAGAAGATAAAAACTGTTCACGTGTTAATTTAATCATTTATGCAACAAATATTCATTAAGCAGTTTTCAGTTAGGGCTGTTCCAACTAGGGCTCCTGGTAAGGTTGATCTGGTTAATCATATTGTTCAACTTTTGTTTTTTCATTTTTACTATCTTTTTTTCTGCTTATTCATTTAATTACCAACGGAGTTGTGTTAACACCTGCAACTATGTGGATTATTTCTCTTTTTGTTTCTGCTAATTGATGCTTCATGTCGTTTAAAGCTATGTTATTACTTTTAGGGTCATTATGTGTTTTTATTTAATAGATTATTTTATCATTATAAAATGTCTCCCTTTTTTCTAGTAAAACTCCCTCCCTTAAAATCTTTAAACTAATACTAATAAATCCATAGCAGCTTTCTGTTGTCTAGTATTTAGATGATATGCTTTTTCTCATCCTTTTATATTTAACATGTGTGTCTTTATCTTAAGCATGTCTCTGTTAATCTAGGATGTCATTTCACGTTTTTAACTGGAGTGTTTAGTCCATTTACATTTAACGTAATAACTGCTGTTTTTATGTCCACCTTTCTCTTTATTTGATCTGGGCTTTGTTCCTTTATTCCTTTCTTTCTTATTAATTCGGTTATTTCTGTTGTACCATTTTACATTTAGTGGCTATTTACCTTTTTAAAACTCTGGTAAAAAAAAAAAAAGTAACATAAAATTTACCACCTTAACCATTTTAAGTGTACGGTTCAGTAGTGCTAAGTACATTCACATTGTTGTGAAACCCATTACCTTTTATTACCCTTAAAAACATATTCCCAAGCACGTTTTAACTTATTTCCCATCCACCTATACCATAGGTGGTATTTCTCTACCACCTATGCTCTCTAGTGCGTATGTTGCAGGTGATATAATTGCGGCAAGACCACTCACACTGGCTGTATCTTGGAGATCTTCAGGCAACTATTCGACTCCACTAAACATACTCTGACAGCTCCCACGGCTCCGTTTTGCTAGCAGGAATGACCACTAGCTCTAGATACGCAGTGTGCCCTCACGCTGCTTTGTTCTGCCAGCTCAGCTACACGTCCTGGGAGGACACCATGGTGGCTGAACACAGGAGAATCTGTGTGTCTCAATACAAAGATCTGGATCCTAAGTTTTTCTCTGCTTCTAAACCAACCACTTTGCCTCTCTGAACCTTGATTATCTCATTTATAAAAATGAGAACACACCGTGAACATAAACAGGATTACCGTAAATATCACACTGGGTGACTTACCTGAAAGCCTCTATTTTCGAAACACGATAAGAATATAAGGTAATCACTATTATTTACCCCACAATAAAAGTTCGCAGTGAGGGAAAACGGGTTTTTTCTTCTTCACGTGCACAAATTAATTTACAGCAGTCTAAACCAGAAACAAGCGTTTCTAAATTACTGAGCTAAGCATCGGGTTCACGCAAAGAATACCTCCACCAGATCCTTTCTTGGTCTCAACTTTAAGAGGGGTTCACTGAGGCGGATGGAACACATTCCGCCCCTGCCTTCGTAGCTGCATATCCCAGCGCACCTGGAAAACAACCACCACAAAACGGTCGCTTAGCAAAGATACGCGAAAGGGAAGCGGACGGGAAAGGGCAACCGCCGGTTCCTTCTCCAACGGTCCAGACTGAGAGGGCTCTGGGGCGGGGGGGAGGGGCTCTCTCTCGAGAGCGCACGCGCAGCCGCTCGGGGGGCGGCCCCTGCCTTTCGCGCCAGTTAGGGAGGCACGTGAGCAGCAGGGACTCCCTGAACGCCAGCCGGGCCGTAAGAGCTCGAAGAAGGCCGTCCCGTTCTGCCGCTCCCTGCCTCCTCCCTACACGCCACTGTCGGTCAGTCGTCGGTGGCGGTAACGGCCAGGTCTCCAGCAGCCTGTGTCCAGAAGTGTCGAGGAAACCCACACACGCAGCAGCATGGCACTAGAAACACACTTCCGTGTCGTACCTTCATCTCTTACTTCAGGGCGCTTCGCCTCCATCCAAGAGCAAGCGCGGTGGTCTCGAACCGCACTGTCAACTTCTCAACTCCGTTCGTACGCAGCAGCAGGTTACCTGGAGCCGGCATTTCCCGGACTCGGCGTGCCGGAAAGGGCTGCTTTGAGACGCACCCCGCCGCCCCCCCCCGAAGATCCCCTGGACCCAGAAGTAGGGAAACGCCGCCCCTTCCCCACCCTGACCCGCGAGCTCGCGGCCCAACGGCGGTACCCGCCGAGCCCGGCAGGGACTGCACGCGTCCCGGGGAAGAAAGCAAGCCGCGGCCCCGGCCTCCTTTCTCGGGGTCAGCTTCCGGCTGCTTCTCCCGCCTGGGTCCTAAAGCGCTCCCGTAAGCCCCATCAGAAAACGGTCAGCTCATCGTTCTAACGCCAAGGAACGTCCCCTTACCAGCCAAACCGCCGCGGGGTGGGCCACAGGGCTCCCCTGACGCTGGGCGGGACAGAGAAGGGCAGGGAAGGGACACAGGACCGAGGAGCCGCCTGCCCCCAGCTCCAGAGCCCGGGCTGAGGCCGCCGGCGCCCCCCGCCCGCGGCGCGGCTCGGGACTCACAGCGTCATTCGCATGCTCCACTTCACCTCGACCGCCTCCAGATGGCCCCAGAAGAAACGGTCGTTGAACAGCATAAACAGGGCCTGCAAATCGGGGGTGGGGTCCACCAGCTCCCAGGACGCGTCCACCAGAGACAGGGGCTCCTGGGCCGGATCGCGCTCCGAGACCTGCAAGTTCCACTCCTCCTGAAGCCGCAGCGCCAAAACCAGGTCCTCATCCATGGCTGCCGGGGGACTCCACGTACCGGAGCCTCGGACGGCCGGGTCGAACTCCTCCTAGGAGATACCGGCCCACGGGTCAGCCCACCGATCTCGCGAGACTCAGACAAACTGCCTCGACAACGAGAACGGAACTTGTCCCAGACGCCGAAGTAAAGCTTCTGGGGCTCAAAAAAAAAAGAACTCACCATGACAGCACCTCCCAGTGGGCTCAAAACTTCGTTTCCCAGGGCTTGAGCCGGAAGCAGGTTTCAGAAATCTGGTTACCGCCTTCTCGGTTCGCGAGTAACGTCAAACACCAACGTCACGCTCGGTTCTGGCGCAGTACCTACGTCTCTCTGCCCCGCCCTCCACTCGCTTCCGCAAAAGCTTCTCCGGCGCATGCGCCCTAGGCCGCTGGCGCTGTTGCGCAGGCGCACCGCCTGCGCCCGGCCTCTTGCGTAGGCGCAGTGCCTGAAGTTCATACCCGGGCGCAGGCGTACTCGTCTCTCTTCCAGCCTGCTTCCGCAGCCCTGGAGTTGGACCCGGCTTGGGTGGGCCTAGACAGCGGCAGCACGGGCGACGGCGATAGTGACAGGGACTGCGTGAGTCCGGACGGAAATGGCGATGGCGATGTCAGACAGCGGGGCGAGCCGCCTGCGGCGGCAGCTGGAGTCGGGCGGCTTCGAGGCGCGGCTGTACGTGAAGCAGCTCTCGCAGCAGTCGGACGGAGACCGAGACCTGCAGGAGCACCGGCAGCGCATCCAGGCGCTGGCGGAGGAGACGGCGCAGAACCTGAAGCGCAACGTCTACCAGAACTACCGGCAGTTCATAGAGACGGCCCGCGAGATCTCCTACCTGGAGAGCGAGATGTATCAGCTCAGTCACCTGCTGACCGAGCAGAAGAGCAGCCTGGAGAGCATCCCGCTTACGCTGCTGCCAGCTGCCGCCGCCGCGGGGGCCGCCGCCGCCTCCGGAGGGGAGGAGGGGGGAGGCGGCGCGGGGGTCCGCGACCACCTCCGGGGCCAGGCTGGCTTTTTCCCCAGCCCCGGGGGCGCCTCCCGCGACAGTTCTGGGCCAGGCGAGGAAGGAAAGCAGCGCACTCTCACCACCCTGCTTGAGAAGGTGGAAGGCTGCAGGCACCTGCTGGAGACGCCGGGACAGTACCTGGTGTACAACGGGGACCTGGTGGAATACGAGGCGGACCACATGGCCCAGCTGCAGCGGGTGCACGGCTTTCTCATGAACGACTGTTTGCTGGTGGCCACCTGGCTGCCACAGCGGCGGGGGATGTATCGCTACAACGCCCTCTATCCCCTGGATGGTTTGGCCGTGGTCAATGTCAAGGACAACCCGCCCATGAAGGACATGTTCAAGCTGCTCATGTTTCCCGAGAGCCGTATTTTTCAAGCGGAAAACGCAAAAATCAAACGAGAGTGGCTGGAAGTGCTGGAGGAAACCAAGAGGGCCCTCAGTGAAAAAAGACGCAGGGGGCAGGAGGAGGCAGCTGCCCCTCGAGGGCCACCCCAGGTGACTTCCAAGGCTGGCAACCCATTTGAGGACGAAGACGACGGCGAACCAGCTGTTCCCGAGGCAGAAGAAGAGAAGGTGGACCTCTCAGTGGAATGGATCCAGGAATTGCCTGAAGACCTGGATGTCTGTATTGCCCAGAGGGACTTTGAAGGGGCCGTCGACCTGCTGGATAAATTGAACCGTTACCTGGAAGATAAGCCCAGCCCACCTCCTGTGAAAGAACTAAGGGCCAGAGTGGATGAGCGTGTCCGCCAGCTCACTGAGGTGCTAGTGTTTGAACTCTCCCCGGATCGGTCCCTGAGAGGTGGTCCCAAGGCTACCCGCCGGGCGGTTTCTCAGCTAATCCGGCTTGGCCAGTGCACGAAGGCTTGTGAGCTGTTTTTGAGAAACAGGGCAGCAGCTGTGCATACTGCAATACGCCAGCTTCGCATTGAAGGTGCCACTTTACTCTACATTCATAAGCTCTGCCACGTCTTCTTTACCAGCCTTCTGGAGACCGCCAGGGAATTTGAGACGGACTTTGCGGGCACCGACAGCGGCTGCTACTCTGCCTTTGTGGTCTGGGCGAGGTCAGCCATGGGCATGTTTGTGGATGCTTTTAGCAAGCAGGTGTTTGATAGTAAGGAGAGCCTCTCCACGGCGGCTGAGTGTGTAAAAGTGGCAAAGGAGCATTGTCAGCAGCTGGGCGACATCGGACTAGACCTCACCTTCATCATCCACGCCCTCCTGGTGAAAGACATCCAAGGGGCCCTACACAGTTACAAAGAAATCATCATCGAAGCCACGAAGCATCGCAACTCCGAGGAGATGTGGAGGAGGATGAACTTGATGACTCCAGAGGCCCTGGGGAAACTCAAAGAGGAGATGAAGAGCTGTGGAGTGGGTAACTTCGAGCAGTACACGGGGGATGACTGCTGGGTGAACCTCAGTTACACGGTGGTTGCTTTCACCAAACAGACCATGGGCTTCTTGGAAGAGGCACTGAAGCTGTATTTCCCGGAGCTGCACATGGTGCTTTTGGAGAGCCTGGTGGAAATCATTTTGGTTGCTGTTCAGCACGTGGATTACAGTCTTCGATGTGAGCAGGATCCAGAGAAGAAGGCTTTTATCAGGCAGAATGCATCCTTTCTGTATGAAACTGTCCTCCCCGTGGTGGAGAAAAGGTTTGAGGAGGGTGTGGGGAAACCCGCCAAACAACTCCAGGACCTGAGAAATGCATCGAGACTGATGCGTGTGAATCCCGAAAGTACAACGTCAGTGGTCTGATGCCTGGACCTGTTTATGTGTATCCGTGTATATTGCTTATGGATTATTTATATTAAGTTGCAGTAGCATATTCTTTATAGTCTCAAACATGTCTTAAAAATAAAAGATGCCCTCTCGGATAGAAGTGCAAAATCACAAGGAGAAAGAAAAAAAATGTTAAATTAAGGCCATATGACAAAAACATTGGAATTATTAAAATATATAATATGCTTTCCTTTTAAATTATGCAGCTCTCTAATGCATATATCGTCACACTATAGCATTTCAGCTTATCCTTTGACTCACGACACACGTTCTCACAGTGCAGGTTATGCAGCGCCAATAAACAGTTTCTGTAAATACAGAGTTTAAGTATGTTGTGAATGTCTCCCTGTTCACAAAAATGTTAGGTTTCTTAAAGGGTACTGTGCCATATAAAACACCCTGTGCCCTATACTTACACACCTTAACATGTGTTTGAACAATTTGGGGGAAAGAGAGGAGTTGAGAAAATTGGTTTTAGGATAAACTTTGGTCAAAAGAATTCCTTCATGAAGGTAGCTAGTGTGTGGACTTGAGTACTCCAATCCTTATAGAGCACAAGAGGAAGCCATCATAAACACAGTTCCAAAGTAATTTAAATGATTCAGCATTTTTAGCTGCCAATTAGCAGCTTGATAACACTTGATTTGGGAGCATTTACTTGAAAATCTTAAGAACTATCAGCAAATTTTTTTTAACATATTTCTGAGTTGTCTGAAGTTCCCTTTTATCATATTAAAAAAAATAAAAAGATACATTGAAGAACCTGACAGCGCTTTTGGTGTGGGTTACACATAGTGGCTCAGACTTCATGCAAGTGGAAGAAAAGTTTTCAGAATTCAGGGTCTGGGTGGGTGGGAAATTAGGGAAAATCCTATGCAGACCCCACGGTGTTCTTAAGTATGACTGCTTTGAGCAGAGATTTGTTTTTGTTTTTTCGTGGCTAAGTGGATAGCTTTTCATGGCTAAGGGTAAGTGTTTTTTCATCTCACAGAAAAGTGAGACAGTGTGCCCAAAGGAAGGAGGGGAAAAACCTTTGGTGACTCCTAAAATGCTCCGGGCTGCATTTTTCTTGTTTTATTTTTAAATTTTATTTGTTTTTCAAACTGAATATAATGCTTACTTCAGATTGTTTAGTAAACAAAAATAACTAAAGAAATTTGAGCTTCCCTAGGTTTCTAAACTTGCATCCATTGTATCTTGATTATCTGGCCTTCCTCATACTTGGAGAGAAACTGCTAAGACCCATTTTTCCCCTAACTCTGGTTGTGATTCTTGTCCCTAAGTGTCATTTCTGATGCCGATGACTTCAAAAGGTCGTTTCTTTTATCTGAAGGAAAATAGTGGTATTAAGACTGTGGGAATTATGTAAAACCTAAAATAGCTTCTAATAGCAGGCTAGGGTTGTAAAGCTCCTTGACTTAATTACTCATATGCCAGACGAGCCTCTCATTTTATATTTAGCTATGCATATCTAAAAGGTTGAAAATTATCAAAGTTAAAGATTTTCTTTGACCTTTTTTTCACATAACTTTAGCATTTGCTAGATAATAACCGTAACTGGATATCTCAGTTGAACAAAAACAGGTATAATCTGCCTTTTTGTTTTTTAAGATCACTGGAAACTTGAATTTGATAAAAATTTTATGATTATTTTGTGCCACTTAAAGTTTCCAAAATTATATTGTATGAAACATGTATTGTGTCAATATTTGATGCTGGGTCCATGAAATGATACTTCTGAAATGAAAACTTCTCTTACGGCATGAAGTGTTAAAAACCTCAGTGCGTATGCTCTCAGATGCTATTTAAATGGTAGCCTTTTCACAGAACTGTCTGCTTTTAAAAACTGGAAGTACAGAACTTTCTTCTGTTAAAAGTTGTGTGTTCCTTAAAGTTGTAGCGGGAGGAATTAAGCTGTTGGTGAATCAGTTCGTGTGGGAAGTTGATTAAAGACCATCGATGTTGCAACGTGCCTTTGTGCCAGGACAGAGCATTTCGCTGCATTTCCTCCAAGTGGGGTCAGAGCTCTTCTCTCTAGTTCTGTTTAGTTAGACACCAAAACAAGGTCTGAAAATGGAATGCGGTTAGAGATTGCCCC